TATAGAAAGTAATCAAAACTAAATAAATAACGATATTGTATCTATCCAGTTTTTGCTGCAGGAATTCAAGGAGCTCGCTGACCATAAGTTCACACATGGCCTCGATATAAACTAGGACGGCTTACGCCGTGCTGAGGAAATTATCGTTATATAGTATATTTAAATAAAACAATACGAGCATATATGAACACGAATACGGTGGTATTCGTGTTAGCTAGCCTTAAGAAATTTTACTCTCATAAATAAAAAGAATAGTCTTATTATTTACATTAACTACCTATTATTTCTTAATAGAAAACAAACTAACCTGGTTGAAAATAATATCATCTCAAATTGTCAAAATATGTTTTTATTATAAAACTTTAAATTTATTATATCTATATAAAAGTTTTGGTACAAAAGTAAGCACTGTGACGCCTGTTTTGGCGGTCCTGATTACCCCTGAAGTAACGCGTTATAAAATTACTCACGATACAATGCTTTTGGGAACTCTTGTGTTATTCTTCAAACTTAAATACAACATAATTTGCAGGTTTATGACACAAATAAATAGAGAGCTTAAATCTCAACCGTTACAATAATGTAGTGCATTTAAAGTACTCTGAGTGAAATCTTGTTATAAATATAATTTGAACTTGAAAAAGTACAGCTATTTTTGTTAGTTTCACCGCGGAAATATTATTTTCCATCCATATGAAAACTTTATCGTATTTCTTAAATCTAAAAGTCGACATTTGAATGGGAGAAATTACATTAGTAAGTCTCGAAATACCAAGAATATTTTATTTCAAAGTAGAAGAATCTTTCGAGTGAACTGAAAATACGGACCGGAATTACATTCCGATATTTTGAATATTCAAATGAGATAAATGTCAAAGACCATTATCATCTACCTTTTCAAAATTAAATTCGTTATTGAAAATAGGGTATTTTTAATCATAGTTGTATACATGAGTACAAATAAAAAGGCGGTGTATTATTATATCTGCCGTACTCTCTGTCTACTATGGAACTAATTCAGTTGGAACAGTTATTTATATAATAAATTTATTTAAATGTCATGTCCTAACCTACGTACATACTTTATATAAACACTACGTCATAAAACATCACAAAGCTCTTAAATTGTCACTTAGAACCTTCAACAGATTATATGATAACTCCATTGAAATATATCCTAATATTCCATGTGACTTTCATACATTTCAAATTATAAAAAAGTATTTATGTTAATTATATCCTATATTCGTATATTTTGTCATTAACATTTTGATTGAGGCTTGACTATAAGGAGAAATGTAAAAGACTAAAATTGTAAAAAAAATCATCAAATTCAGTTCATCAAATTCCGTTCAGTATTTTATGATTCTATCGTGAACAAACAACGTACCACGAAATTTTTATATGTTAGGATTTCATCAATGTTTATTTTTTACAATATTTATATATTTTCTCACATATTAATATAAATTGTATATGACATTGATACTATTAATTATATTTGAATACTTGTATACAATTATAATCGTTTAATAAATTACTATGACAAAATGTCTAACTGTAATCCTATTTGAATTATTTCGTAGAATTTCTTCGATTCTCTTGTGTTTCTGTATTTTGGTATCTCGGATTAGTGTATTTTAATGGTGATATATACTGTCACTGGTAAATTCTCTTAAGAGTTTTCCAGTGAAAACATTATTGAACTAAATTTAATTACATATTCCATTAACTTTTTTTTACATTATTTATATAGACCTTAAATAAAAAAAAAACCGAAATCCTAAGGTATTATTTGAGCCATTTTAATCATTGTATGTTATAAAATGTGAATAGATACATTTAGATACATGTAACACGTGGGCGGATTATTAGTAATGTGGATTAATAATCCCATTGCTAGCAATGTACCATGTCAGGTCGACCTCCACGTGGTTCCAGGAGGAAGGTCAGCATACCATCCCAAACAGATCCCATTTTCCAAGAAGGGAAACGATAAATGATCTGACCTCATACTTATCTTATCATCCTACAATGGTATACCGTTGGCGAAAGCAATAGCACCATTCCATTATTATCCCTTAAAAAAACACGGACACATGGATAATAGAATTGCATACAATGTGATATAACTATGAAGCTCGCCTGTTGTACAAAAGTTTTTTGTTCAATAAAGAATAAATAAATACAGGTGTACATTATCAGAAGAAAACTGTATAAGTTCTACTATCAAGGGTAATCAAGTGACAGAGATTCATTATACATATTAAAATCACTTCGTCTTTTTCTTGTGCGTAGAACTTGTATACAAGTATACTTGTTTGTATGTAAGTTTGTTTGTTGAAAGTCGTTTTGAAAATAAAATCCTAATTTACATTACTTTGTTGGAACACCCTATGTGCGACTCCGATACACACTTTACCGTTTTCTTATTATAAAAGAAGTTGAAGTTCAAAATAGGGATTTTAAGAATGAAAGACTCTTTTGTTTGTGCAATGCGACCATAAAGCTTTGATTTTTTATCCGCTGATTTTCCATTCATTGTATAAAGACAGTCTAAGAAAAAGAAATGGTTATTATGAGCAAAAGACATTATTTATGACTGTATTTTTTGCAGTCTTTTTCCAGTATTATTTCTTTACTATGATAGCTTAGTTGTTTCTAAGAGTCTTTTGACTATTACATTATAAAATAATTATTTTTGAATATACAATATAAATAATTTATATTAAATTAATATACAATTCCAACAAAAACAGCAATGTTTTGTTATTATAACAAACTTGATTGAACGACCACAAATTGAACAATACGATACTCGTATTTGTACACCAATTTTATTGATAGAATTAATGAAGTGGTTTTATATTGTAAAAATAATTTAATCTCTTTTAAATTTTACGTCTACATAAATTACGAATACTTGTAATAAATTGATGCATAAGAAGCTTCACTAAACTCTCATTATATTGTTGAAGAGGTTTGGAACTTACTACTTGGAGATTAGCTATAATATTGATATATATAAGAAAATACGAAATACACTTTTTTGTTTGCTTTTCGGTAACTCAGTTATTACACATCAATAAAGTAGCTCATTATTGGTCTGAGAAGGGAAAATATACGAAATTCCTTATTTTCCTGTCTCTTTATTTCGTTCTTTTACTTATCTTAAGGGATTATAAGGGAAATACTGACTAAAATATTTCAACTACTACTGTGCTGTATAAACCTGGTTCTTTAGTGAATACGAAACATATTCTATATATATATTACCGTTTTATTTATATTCTGAGATTAGTTACGTCCTTTAGGTTTTTTTAGCCTTCATTATTTCTGTTTGTGCATTTCGCTATCGTCTGAGTTAGTATGTGACCAGCAATTTCTTTTGATCATCAAATCTTTAAATTAACATTATAAGCAAAATGCAGATATAAAAAAATATTTACCATATATTGACTAGAAGCAAATTCACACACGTTACATTAAGTCTACTACAATTATCAAATGATGATGATGATGATGATCTGATAAACATAGCACATGTTATGTTTATCCGATTATTTTAGTTTTTGGTAGATAATTTACTTCTTGGTCCTTATATTTATTGCAAAATAAGTTTATACATAAGAGTATATTTCCTTAAAGAGAGTCGTATTTCAAAATTTAAATATAGACTTCTGTCTATGTCAGGTTATATATTTGTCAAATTTCTTTACGATTAATATAGCCAATAAAGTATCTAGTGATAATAAAGACGCAATCAAACATATATTTCCAATATTAATGAACATTTGCATATTATACACATAGATACTAGAAGATTCAAACCCTAAATACACATTCGATTATGATATAATTTAGATTGCGTCCAGAGTTAATGGTCTTGGAAAACTATGATAATTATTAATATAGTTAAATAGGTTTTAACACGAATAAATTTAAAGATATACGTTTTCCCTAAAATGTATTTGCATTTTAGGGAAAACGTATATCTTTATGCAAAAAAAGATAAAGGAAAGACAAATAAATATTTACCAGTAAATATCTTGTGGCGCGTGTAGTATAAATTTAGCGAAAAGACTTTGACAACATTTCAGTTAATCGAAGTAAACTAACAATAGACACCGCAAATATCCACTATTGTTGATTTTACTATAATGGAATCAAGTACGTAATTAATTTTCTCTCGGCCGTTCCAGACCGTAGGCGTACAAACTGAAAATTGCGTAGGTTAATTATAGAGAGCATTCGAAACTATTGAGCCGCAGGGTCGAAACTTCAATTTTCCGGAAGGCATGTCTTATTCAACCATGTACAAACCAATTACAAGTCCTTGAGATACGAGTTAAATGTACCTTTTAGCTTGGCATTCTTTACGTGAAATCGATAAATATTGTTTCATAGAAATATTATATAATCAAATAAATTCTTCTTAGTCGCCTAATAAATGTATCTTAGATATTTTTACGGCTGTAATTGAACTGACATTATAATGACTTTAGTCAATGAAATATAGGTATAACATACTGATGTTGTAGATGTAGACTACTGGTCTACCACTAGAGATAAAGTAAATAATATATGTATATGTGATATATCAATTAAAGTTTTTATGTGGGACAGTTTTGCTTTCACGACCTAATATGTAAACAGTCTGAATAGTGATACAAGGCTGCAATGAACTCAAGAGAAACGGTCTAAATTTAAAAAAATATGCTCTAGTAGTTTAATTGATTTGTAAGTTATGATAGTTTTAGTATATTATAGTTGTTATTACTATTACTTTATCCATAATATATATGTATATACTCTGATATTTCTAAAAGAACATGTACTTCATTTTATTATCTGTTTAGATACCAAAATAATAAATTATAATAATATTTACCCTGTGTTAATTGTATTACCTGAGTGGTGAACTTAGATGTTAAAATAGTCATCTACTCGTAAATGGAAGTTCAAGTAAGTTAATAATGTTATGAATTCTTTATCGGCAGGTGAGGGGCGAGCGTGATGCGTCGGCACTTGTGATGTGCACTCTAATATGCAGTGGGACGGCCTCTACTTCGTCTGTCTAGCGTTATGCTGCCTACACACTGCATCTGGTAATTATATGAATTATATGAATTACGCAAATTACAATAATTCAATATTATTTTTATATCTGCTTCAAAATAGTGGATGATTCCATGTCCACTATATTCATCATGCAACTTTCAAATGGGATGATATTATGCAAAATACCCGTTAAAAGTCTAATATCCATCTGAAATTCTATATAAATTTAAATTTGATGAATATAACGCACAGATCCAGCTTGTACAGATGATAATTTAATATATACTCTTTGGGTAGATAAAATTATAGTCTAGAATGACAACCAGTGTGATTTTTTAAATGACAAACAAAGCAACAGTCTACCTAATTAATAATAATAGCCTTAAGTAGGTTTGTAATTTTGAAAATTAAAGATAAAACAAGAATTATAGAAGTGACATTTCGAATTGTAAACATTAAGCTATGTGAAATAAAATATATATTTTATAACGAATTACTGCGGATGCTATATATACATTTTGATGTCAATGATAAATAAGTATAATATTTGTATATACAAATGTATTACTTATTCTACGGCGGCTGTAGTCTAGCGGTTTAGCACACCGCCTTACTTCTGATGGTAGCGGGTTCGATTCTTCGCAAGGTACAAACATTTGTATTCATAAGTATGATTGTTCCTATCGGTCTGGGTGGTTTCTATGTGTAGTATGTATGTATATTTGTATCAGTTTCTAGTAACTATAACACAAGTTTTAGCTAGCTTAACTTGGGCTAGATGGCGTTGTATGAATTATTATTATTATTATTAACACAAATATCGCGCAAAGATAGCGTATTAATAATAGTATTTAAGTCAGTTATAAACAAAATATAAGTGTACTTACTCATAATATGAATGCCAGAGTTAGGTCAGAGATACTTACTTATTTAATCTATTTCACATCTTACGAAACACCTTAGATTAAGGAGCAAAGCGAAGCAACGCGAAACACCAAACTGTAATTAATCTAAATTATAAATGTTGTCAGGTTAATGCATATTTCTCTGTTGATTTGTGTTGACAACCTGCCATGTCTGAGTTACACGAATCTATGATTAACTAAATAATAAGCAATTAAATCACAGTAATATAATATTGATATTAAACTATTATACACTGTTTTAGGGTTCAAAGTGAGAACCTAAACAAAACAAGTATACCTGTTCATATTTGATGTACTGCTGATATATATAATGACCACTATACTTTCATTTTGTCAAACTGACTAAATGGTAATCTTAATAAGCTTTCTTAATAAGCTATCACATTCATCCGGTGCCCATACTTAATTGGGATAAAAAGTACCTAATTTATTTTCTTTTTCATTCAAAATACTCTGTATATACCAAATTTTATTACTACCAGTTCATTATGGCCAGAGATCATTATAAACTTTTTTTTATAATTTTAATTGGTATTTATAAAAATCAATTATAACTAATAAACAAGTATAAAAATAATAAAAAATAAAATTGTACGTATTAATATTTTAATTATCTTTGAATTTTTATTTTACCTCATTTGTAAATGAATATGTTCAGTTCATTTATTTGCTTTAGAAAAAAATCCATTTCAGGCTTATAATATGTTCGTTTTACTTTCGGAGCTGGGAGAGTTAATAAGAAAATCCTTAATGTTACATACCTACGGCTATTCAAGCAAATAAAACTTGGTTGCTTGGGTGCCTACGCTCTTTATTTCTCTTGATTGAGTTTCTTACTAGTTCTGACATATTGTTAGTTTTTCTGGAGAAGTTAGAGTAAATACAGTTTCTTATAGGCATTGTCAGTGTTACCAAATAAATTGGTATCGATAGAGTCTATCAAAATTATGTCGTGTTCATCAAACTAAGGATAATGACAACTAATTGTATCTACCAGTAAGACACATGACTTACGGGTTACGTACAGTTACATAAACTCAAATAGATTGGTAGTACAGTGGTACGCAGTGTGTTATATATAGAGAATACTTTTTATAGCATTTCTGACATACTAACTTTTATATAAAAGGCTAGGGAAAACATTAACTTCCTTGTCATATAAAAATTCTTGGAAATTGAACTATATTTTTTACTTTTAAAACGAAATATATCTGGAAATACTACTAGTATATATTTTCCGTTTTCCGATCAAATAAATTCATGTAAGCCATTTCATAACGCCTGATAAAACTTGGCATCCGAAACCGTGTATTGGAACAGAAATTATTTGTGAACTTTCCACCATTAAATTAACAGCAAAATTAACGATATTCATTGGGGTATCGCGAGTGAAGTAGACCACAAGTTTTTAAATAATATGACAGAATAAATTGTAATGTATTTTGAAATATTTATGTAGTAGCTTTATGTATATTGGAATATAATGGGCGTAATTACTGTCTGCGAAATAACAATTACTTGTAACTTATAGATTGTAGAGTTAATCAATTCTATGATCAGTTTTTTTTACTTGTTTTTTATTCAAAAGCGTTTTTATTATCTAGCGTCAAACTTAAGCTGCGATTTTTTTTATTAGTTGATATATATAAAACCTTATTTATAACTTAACTAACTTATCTTTTGTGCTTATTAATTCTATATTTACATTTAATTCTATTAAAATACGAATAACAATGACAATTGATAGCTTAAGTGATTTTTAGGTCCACATTTGAATATTAAAATTTGCTATTTACAAATCATAATGAAATTCGTACTTAAATTCTGAATATAACTCTAATTAGGATAGGTTACGAATTATATACTGAAATTCAGTTCAATATTGTGTTTCCGTTCAACCATAATGAATGATAAGTATTCTATACATATGTACAGCATGCAATAATACTTTATCTATTTCTATTCTTTTTTTAAATACAAGTTTTAGTAAGCGCACTGTATTGCAGTGTCAAAAGATAGAAGTAAATTCTGTTACCCTCAATTATGGACAATAAGAAATTATATGATATAAAACTACTCATTACTCGTATACAGTAATGTTAAACCTGTTTTTATAAGACTAAAAGTATTACAATTCACATCGCGTTTTGGGATCAGCCTTGACAGACGACGACGGCTTTCGTCATTTTTCAGGCTCAGTCATACGAGCACCCAAAAATATCTTTTTAGATAAACTACCTATACTGATTTTATTTATAACTTGTTTTTTTATGGTTAGCATAGAATATGACAGTAACAATCTTTTTATCGAAATAACAAAAAATGAAAATAGGAGAGGATAGTATAAAAAGGTATTTTATACTTGTGTATTATTACTTTCAAGAATTTGTTTCAGATATAAAACCGTCTTTTGTACCTTATTAGTTTAAAAAACTTATTTTATATTAAAAATACCCTTTCTGATAAACTATTTTTTTATTGACACACAAAACATTCGACACATTTTTTAAGCAATTTTATTAAATGAATCTAATTTTTAAAATTATATTTTTTGTAAAAACAAACCACATGAGTTACCATCTCTGTTAAACAAAAGGTAATAAAATTGAATTTTTTTTTTCATTGAAATCCTACTTATTACCCATCATTATATTTTTTTTAATAAATTTAATCCAAACATTTTTACGGATTATAAAATAAATCTTTATAATCTATGCAGAACCGCTACGATTCCCAGAAGATTACCGAGCAAATGGCGCCAGAAGACGTCGGAGCGATGAGAAAGATAGCCTGGCACTATCCAGGGAGATATTTAGAAACATTAGTAAGCAATTACGAGAGAACATCAAACGAGAGGGAGCGACGGACCGAAATGACAATTTGTTACAAGGTAGGTTATATATAATTTTATCAGACTACTCTCTGCCTGTCATTTTGTCCGAAGGACCAAGATTTTCTTTAAGCCATAATACTAAACGGGGAAAAGTAAATTATTAATAATGAGATTTTTTTAATGGATAATAATGATACGGTAGTTTTGCTTACGCTAATAGTATACGCTAATGGGTACTAGTGAAAGAAGATAATATGAGCATAAGGTCAGGTCAATTATCCCATTAAGCTGAAATTAACCATGATGATCTTAAGGGGAACAGCGTGAAGGTCGATTTTATATGGTACATTGCTAGCAATGAGATTATTATTAACAAGCTCTTTCTCCCAAGTTATGAGGATCATTGTCTCCATAGCAATGTGCCATGAGTGACTGAGATGTCTTCATGCCCATCCTCATATATCATCTTTAACTGGTGCCAAGTTAGCGTATACTATTAGCACAAGCTGGTGCATAGCTCCATTATCATCCATTTCTATAAAGAAATCAGGACGATTAGGTAAACTGTTATCATGCTAATAAGCTATAAATAAAGTTTAAAACTTTAAAAATTGAATAAATAAATGAAGAAATTGTGCTAACATTTTATCCAACATGCAAAAAATAAACATTTATTTAATTTGTTGATCAGTAAAATATGGTACAAAAGGCGGACTATTACATAGACATTCTCATCAATTTAGTCCATACTAATCTAGGTAGTACAGATAGTTATATTATATTGATACTAAACTTACTAAATTATTATGTTAAAACCGACGCGGCTCCGAAAACGAGAATTTCCTCAATTTAGTCCCTTTCCTTGTTATTTTTATATTTAATTTCGTAGTAGGTGTCTACGTAAAGAAAAGCAAATTATAATAAAAATTATTGAACGTTTCTCTCCTAACTTTAACTAACTAGACAGTTAGGTCTAATTCCCTATTCTATTACAGATACAGTTATTCGTTCTGAAATAAGATATAAGAAGTATATATAGAAATAGACATGTATATATATATTTAAGTCTATTTCTATATACTTTTCTATATATACTTCTTACATATTCAATTAGGAATATGTATAGAAGTATATTTAATTAAATCCATCTTATTTACTTTATAAAACTAGACTTTAAAAACGATTTTTACGAATATTGGAAATTTTTTCATTTTCAAAAAAAGTAATCACTGTCCTTTGAAAGTGCCGGATTATATTTCATGGTAGTGTATTTCGGAGTATCTTATAAAAAAGTGGCCTCGTGTTTTCAATGAAATGGCTCCACATAAGGTCGACCCATAAATCTTTATAGTATTGATCTTCAAGAAAGTGTGGTTTCACGTTACTAAGTGGAGCGGTGCTCACTGACCTGTTACTTACGTTTTAATATTACGTATTGGTTTTAGTACGTTATATATTATAACATATATTATCATAGCTACGTGTATAAAATGTATTTTAGAATACAGAGTAATGACACTTATATACTAGGTTTTATTCTGTTAACTTTCTTATTTAACTGTATCTAATTCTTCCATGTAATTAGAATAACAAAGAAGAGTCCTCATGGTAAAAATCAAATCAAAATTTAATTTTCTCATAACTAAACTACTTACAGGTACTCGGTACTAGGTAAACACATAATGTATAGGTATGTATACTAATTTTAGTCATTATAGTTATCTACTATAGCGCTCTATCTTCATATAGATGCAATTATTATATAATTAGGTTCATAATATTATATTTTTAATATTAAATATAATCCAAATTGCATCGCTGATAAAGTATGTATCATTTATGAGAGAGTCAGGATTTTCTAAATTGGTTAAATTTTATTTTTATTATATGTATTACAAATATAAATAAAAATTGACTGTTTAAATTACTTTTAAAGGCAGTGGGACAAATCAAACATAGTCCACGTTTGAAAGAGAATTAACTAGTCTCTCAGGTCTGGTCGGTTTCTGTTTAAATTCTTGCTACAAAAGTAAAAGAAACGTTTTAGTTAAGCTCTTACCGTAATATAGGGGACTCATTGAAATGTACGATAAAGAGCTCATGACAACAAAGCCTAAATAATAATTAGGGTATTATTTAGATAGTGTAGAAACTAATCGCGAACTCCGTTATTTTCTTAAACTACACAATAAAGTGGAATTGTAGGTACTAGACTAAACTATTAAAAAAATATTTAATTAACAAATTATTATTATTTTATGTTGTTTATAATGTTGCTTAAATCGTTTTTAAGTATAATAAATAGGAATATAAATAATAATAATAGGTAATATTGAAAATTAATGTACATTTGATACTTCTGTTCTAAAATCTTAATTTTCTGCAACTCTATTTTAAAATCTACTATTTAATCTATAAACTTACGGATCCAGTAATTAATCTTCATTTAAATAATCAAACGTAATACATTATTCATTTTAATTAAAGAAATAACAACTTCATCATGATCATTTCGACAAAACTTAGAACCATTAAAAGTTAATCCCAACTAGGTAGACGATAATTTTATTAATATCCGTCATAATTCCTGAATATACATAGCAATAAAACAATTTATTCATGAAGTTAAAACAGATAACAGTTAACTATTCTCGCAAGGAGAATATCGTTTTGCATAATTATTTTACAAACTGAGGTTTATTAGATAAATTGGTGAGCATACCGTAGGAAATCCGGTATTAATTTACATTACATTAAATAGGAACTTTGGAAACAAACCGATATATCAAAATGTCTTTATACAGATTACTGTGTGGTCTACTTGGAATTGGCCATCTTATCTCATTCCGAGAATGTCGTAAAAGGGAACTAAAGAGATAAGAAACTGGAGTATATCTTACTATTATTTTCTCTGCTTTTAAAACATCACACTGTGTCTCGTCATATGATATATTACCCTGTAATCTAGCTGTAATACAATGTTAATTAAACTGTTATATTATTTATTGTACAATAATATTATTAACAATAACGGTTACTATAATAAGTATCACATACATAACACTTTACGAAAACCAAAAGTGGTGTCTAACTGTGGATACATCGCTACTTGTGGGTATGTTGGTCTATTTACTTGTACTCTATAACTACAACTAAAACACTGTCACATGATTATTTCGATATGTTAAAATTGGATAATGAAAAATTTAATCTGGTAATACTATTGGCGAAGATTATTAATTGGCATACGACAATTTGATATGACAAGTAACATGTAAAATTACACCGTTAATCTTCCTAAATAAATAAAATAAATAACTTTTGAAACTATTTCATATAATTAAAATTACTAAAATAAATCTTTTCTGTTTCTACTTTAGGAAAGGTAGAAGAGTCTCGACACTATGTACCATACCAAACTTATCATGATCACCATCATGAACACCATTGGGGGCCATATTTTGAAGATGAGAAGTACTCGCAAGTTGCAGCCCATGTCGGCTCTGAAGCGTTGCTGAACTGTAGAGTCGTTATGCTAAAAGACAAAACTGTAAGCATAATAATTTGTTAAATTTATTTTTAATTACTATTAATCATAAGTAATTAAATTGTTGATTTTGTTAAATTAATTAACCAAAAATATTTTATAACATTTTTTTGGTAAATTTATTTATAACCATGCCTATTTACGTTACATGACATTTCGGTAATGAGGAATTAATTAGGCAAATTATATTATAAAATGAATTTAATTAGATACTTTCATTAATTTAAATATCTAAAAATATCAGAACAATGTTGTTAAATGACTCCTTGCAGTCACATTAATTTTTGTTTAATAAAGTAGAATCATGATTAGACTTTTAATTACTCACAGTATTTGATAGGTTAATTAAATAAAATTCTTAGTTTAGTTAAATTTTGTAATGACTATTTTTAAATTCTTAGAAAAATAATCAAAAAAGTGACAAATTGAATATTATATAATAGATTACTAGGTTTAATATAAAATTCTTAAAATTTTCGTTTCATTACCGAAGAATAGGGAACTTTTCCGTATGACTTTAAGCCCTATAGCTTATCGAATTATATACATACTCGGCACATAGAGGCTGGTACATGTTTGCTGTATTTTCGGAGCAAACTCAAATCGCTTAATATTGCAATTGTTGTTTGAATACGTATAATACATACGTAGACTTTCTACTATTTATCATACTCAAATTTCTATAAAATGATAAGCAGCACATTTTAATTTAGTATAATCTTTGATAGTATGTCATATACCGAAATGTATGTATGTTTCTAATTGTATGTATTACCTTTACTTGAATATATGAAACATAAGTAACTTAAACTACCGTCCGCAGGTAACGTGGATGCGGAATTCAACAGATTCAGCGCAGCTACTGACAGTTGGTCCATCGCCGTATACTGGCGATAATCGAATAGCTGTCAAGTTTCAATATCCAAACAACTGGAGGCTCAGTATGAATCCAGTTAAGCATTCTGATGCTGGGAAATACATGTGCCAAATAGCAACCCATCCTCCCAGGACAATATTTGTAAATTTAACTGTATTACGTAAGTATTGTAATATTAAACACTAGTTGATGCGCGCAACTTCTTCTGCGTCATTTGTCATTGCAGCTCTACCTATTAGCAGTAGTTATAAGTAGCGTTATGTTATATAAACTAGCTTTCAATACTAAAAGGATTTTCAAAACCAGCTCAAAGAGCTTATACCCCCGAACATTTAAACTCGAAGATATATTATTATAAAGAGGTATTTAAATAGGCATATATATTAAATTAATAGGATTCAAATTAAAACTATTATTATTTTATACATTTTTAGACTATTATTTATATTGAATAAACTTAATAATTTGTAAAAATTCTAGTCCTTATTAAAATGTAACATACATTCTTTAAAAAACAATATTTGACATTAGATTGTAATCTTACTTTATTTATAGTGTATAAAAACATTAACAAATCACTTTCAATACATTTATACGTTGTCCAAAAAGGTCATCATGTATAAAAGATTGTTATCTTTTATAATTTTGTAGCGTAGGTAGTAATGTCATATTTTATTTTTCCGCGTCCTCACATCGCGTATCAGATAAATCTAAAGCTCTCAGAGGACAATGCTACTCGTTTAATATTATTTTTCGTGATGAAAATTTTTTACGTTTTGTTCACAGGGGCTTTTACCCGATATCCATGATATACCGACCGAAATTTTAAATTACGTAATTCATAAGTTTTCTTTGCAACTTCATATAATTTAATATTACCCAGTTAATTACGTATTATTATTAAATAAATAAATAGTGGAGGTGTGTCTTACAAAATATTTTTACGACGTTGTTATATAGGAAAATGGATTCTTTCCATGTTTATTTTTGATTTTAGAAATAATTACATACTTTGTATGTCTTCTCATATTAAAAGATTCATAATGGTAGGCAAGCAACTGTACCTTATGTACCCAAAGCCATAAATAAACACATTTTAATTTTGCAATGTGCATCCCTATATCCCTATACAGATATACGTGAAAAAACGAAAATATAGCTTTTACGGTTACATGTTTTCCTTCTTTTTAACCTTAGGTAGTTCAAGCGTGGCGTGAAAAAGCACTTGGTGACCCGCCATAATGCGGACAAGTGTTGGAGGAAGATATTCGTGCCGTATTGTTGTTGGATTTAGGACTGTTGTATTGTCCCTTTTTATTATACCCTTTTTACACCGAAAATAAATTACATTATTTAAAAAGTTATCTTTGAAAACATCGCATTGTTTCAGCTCCTGTATTGACCATTAATAATGATCAGTCTCATGAGGTGAAAGATAGATTTTACAAAGCTGGAAGTTCAATAAAACTAACTTGTATCATATCAGAAGATTACGTTACGTCTTTACCAACTAAAGCACCTACTACAACACAAGCTCCTAGCACTACCCCTACAACCACTACTACAGAATTAACAACAAAATTGAGTACAGTTTTTAATAGAATAGATCTAGTAATGAATAAAAGTTGGAGCGTCGAAACAACGACAGTTACTTCAACAGTTAGTATAAGTACTACTACAACTAAAGCACCAGAGATAACCACTGCTGTAGTCATGACTGTGAAACCCACAACTCCGCCAGTTGAGAATAATATTTATGGTATATATTGGAAAAAACAAGGAAAAAACTTCTCCGATAATGTTACATGGCGCAATATGAGGTAATAAGAACATAGTTTACTTTATATATATTATATATAATTATGAATAAAAATAATTATACACTTTTTTTAAATTCAACTAATAAAAAAATCATTTCTTCATAACTATAAAGAATTTATAAAAGTCGAAAATACAATATACTTATTAAACAAGTACAATAAGAGACGAGTAAACATTACATCTTTATGTAGTTAAATATAAAAACGCTTAACATAGTACATACAAATTATTGTGTAGTTGCAAGTTGTCATAGAAGTATATATTGTTACTTTTTTTTAGTGCTACAATAAGTGTGGCGTCTGCTTCACAAAATGATAGTGGAACATACATATGTCTTTTACAAAACCACTCACAAGTAATAGTCAACGTACATGTTCTGATCGGTAAGTTTAAAATAACATTGTTTTTAATTATAGTATAACATTGGACCATAGTGTACACATATATTTTCATAGCAATATAAATAAAAATAGTGCCATTTTTGTATGCTTGAAATGGTTTTACGCTTCATCGAGTTGGGGAATCGGGCAGAAGTGTTCAAATAATAATTTTCGAGAGGACGCCAGAATGGAGACTACTTTAGCCTACTGGGAAATACGCAATTTCACAATTCGAATTTCACAATCAGATATATTCTTGACCTAAAAATGGAAGGAAAGCAAAAATGAAGCAACGAATTAAGCAGTATTATGGTTATAACGACCTATATTTATTATGATCATGTAAGGAGTTTATTAGTCATCTCCATCCAAAAAAAAGTTTTGATAAACCAAATGTATCCAACGTTTGGTTTATCAAACATTTTTTTTCTCCCCATTTACTTCCCTAATGCTACCTCTCTTGGCGGTGCTAAACTTATCAAAGTCATTGGCCTAATTAGCACATTCTACTTTGCTGGGTAATAAACACTCTTACGTCGAATTTAATTTCAGACGATAGGGAACATAATTGTATCCTTGAGTTTGAATAACTATTCCAATGTTTAGAAGATGTACTATATGTATCACTGCTTGCATGTTGTTACTACAGCTAAATTGAGCGTAACGAGCGTGAGAATTTAAGTGTCCACTGAAACTTATTCAGTTCTGAAGCCAAGCAACATGTTTTTTTTAAAATTGAAGTGTAGTTTTAGAACTCCGTATTTAAATATACAGTTAAAGTATTGATGGATGTGACTTCATACATGCGAACATTTGTACTTTCTATCTATTAATGATCATCAAATCATAATAATAAATATTGAAACATCAAATGATAATGTGCGCACGGAAGAATAAAAGAACTGAATAAACAAAAAAGGCCTTATAACCTTATAACCAATCTCTTACAGACAACAATATTCGTATGTCCATTTATTATTTGATTAATAATATTGTACGTATTTTTTTAATACGAATTATCATCTCTCTAAGAGACATTTTCTTTAGCCTACATGTTAAACCTTACATATTTAAAATAATTAATATTCTGTAAAATTTAATTTAATTTATAATTTTTACATAAAATATTAACACTGTAATATAAGTTTTTGCCTCGTAACAATCGTAAAATATATAAAGAAGAGTGAATTCATGCCTGTACTTGGAAGCCAGTATTATCTGGTATTTGACTGTAATATTGCATTTAATCTTAATATTTCTTTACCAGGTGAGAACCAAGCTGCCGTTCATCATGACACGTGGAACAAAGGAACACTATTCTGGCAACCAATAAACTTATCTATAGTTTCTCTTATGGCTTTGCTTTTATATTTTACTTGAAATATACTTTTTTTCTAGATGGGCTGTATCAAAATTGTTTTTTATTTATGAACATGCATCTCTTCTATGCAGAATTAAACGTTCAATATTGTAAATACATATTGAATGCCTATTAACACTGAAATTGCCCTTTTTGGAGCTTAGATACTTTAGAAGAATTTACATTCTGTAGTTTTAAATACAATATAAGAAAGTCCACTTCATAATTTCGCGAAAGAATTAAGAAACACAATTTTATAATTTAGAATTAGAAAAAAAGGTTGACTATTTCAAACATTATTTTAATATAACATTAAAGTTGTACGTTTGACTTAGCAAAGAAATTCAGTCATCTATATTTTATGTACATCTAGAAACGAATAAAGGCTTACCCAAAGTTAATTGATATCAGACAGTAGACTGAAAAGTAAAAGTATTTGCAAATGGAATTGCCCTCAGTTCTTCGTTTCTTACATCTACTTATAAGTATCGTACAGGACTATGCTGAGCATATTTAAAAAAGCGGTCCGATTAATATGTTAAGTTCAAATGTTTATTTAAAGAAAACTTGTACCAAATATATTTAATGTAGTTCCAAATGTTAGGTAGTATTTTTAATTGTTACAAAATAAAGCAATACCTATAAAGACAAATATTAAATATAACTCATTACTGTATACAAATATAATATTGGAATTTGCCGAGTTCTAATTATACCTAATTGGTAATAGAAGTTGCTCTAAATATTTTATCAAATATTTTGCTACTTATTGTAACAAAAGTTTACGAACACTTATGGATATCGTGAGTGGCTGTTCTTTGACTTCTTACAGTATGGTCAACCGTGTCAAACACGACTTATTTAGATATATAGGTACCATTAAATTCAGTTATAATAGTTATACTAACAACATGACGTAGACTGTATATACCAAATTTCTAAATCATTAAACATCTAATATTCGGTGTAATAAAAATAAGAATAAAATGATTCTTGTAATATCTAGAGTAAAATTTATCTTGTGTATTTTATTACGACATGTACAGCGTAAGTCTATTGAATAATTGTTCTAAGAACTTAGTAGAATTTTCTTGTTTGTATCATAATTAAATGAATAAGATGTTATTTAAAAGGCGGAACAGAATAATACCAAATTCTATATATTATAAGATATATTTTATATGTTGTTGCACAATTTTGTTAATATTACACAAATTTCTCATCTGTAAACAGAAAAGACTATGTTAAATAACTGTAAAGGTATAAAATAAACTAAATAATATAAATAAAATAATACAAAAGTATCGTTTCTTTTCATTTTACTATCGTACATTTTCTGTTTAACATTTTTTAAGTATTACAACTTATCAGACTTCAATATATAATTTATCACAACTAATATTCGCACGATGCGTCACATAATATGGAATAACTCATTATTTCATACATATAAGGTGAGATGTTTTATGCATGTACTATCTACATAATAAGCAATCTTACGAAAGGTCTTTCCACAAAAATATTTTCAAAAGGTTCGAGTCAATGCAATATAGCTAAATATTAGAGGCTACGCTGTGAGCCGCACGATATCATCTTCACCTTTCACAGAGAAAATGGGAAAGGGGGTCGACGATGTAGAAAATCAATTATACAGCTGACTTCAAAGAGTAATAAAGAACGCTGATGTTTCTATTAACAACAGAAAGCCAAAACGCGAATAATCTTGTACGAAAAATTCATAAGTAAGAAATCACAATATTCATAATACCGGGTCGATATTTTCTCTCCTAACATATTGTATAAATCATTTAAATTATTTCTTATAAAAGCAATAGAATAAAAATAAAATAGATTTATCGCCTCGAAAGCTAATACTCATCAAGTAGTAGACGGTATCAAAGCACCAACTACCAGTCAACTCACTATAAGCTTCCAAAACATTAAAGCTTTAGGGGTTGACAAGGTAAACGTATAATATTTATAGAGGTGAGGTTCTGATTTCAGCACATGTAAGTACGGATTGCGAGATACCTTCATAAATATTGCCTACAGGGAATTTCATAGTTAGATAGTGTGACGCTTCAATGAGAATAGTTAGCGAAACTACTTTATTAGGACGCTCCAGTTTCAAATACAAATTAATGAAGTAAATTTCGTAATACAGTCATATGGAGGTAAACACAACATTTTACGTAATATTATATTTCACACAACTTATTATTCATAAAACAATTTGTTACTATCACCTACACTTGAAGTGAGTGAAGTGAAGTGAAGTACCTACTGTTCACATAACCAGTCCATACAATTGTATATAAATTGCCTGTGAATTTGAAAAGTTTATTTTATAATGAAGAATTCAAATACAATTTTTTATCGTTAAGTGTTTTAGGTGGGTTAGGGTTGGGGTAGGTTAGTGTACATGAATTTAGGAAAGAATTAAAAGACATATTTTAATTTATTAATATCCCTAATTATAATTTGTCATTTTTCTTTCTCGAAAATATTGATTTAAAAATTTTTTTTATTGTTCTTTTTAGAAATGGGATCTTCATTGTATTTAGAATCATCAGTAATTAAACAAGTGTTAAGGTCACACATCGATGGATTTAAACAATTCGACTGGAAACGAATGTTCATCTGGTAATAACTGTAAATATTCTACAATATGTCCAATCTTAACACTTTCCTAATAATATATTATTATATTATTACTATTACTCAGACTCTTATCATAAATATCAATACATATACGGAAATAATCTACTACATAACTTCCCTAAAAACTTTAATTCACTTGTCAATTTACATAAGTCCAATTTAACAGAAAAGTCGATTGAATATTCATTACTTACCTACCTTTAAAACTTGAACCTCTTTACCCCTTCAAATAGTTCATAGTGACAATCGGACAAAAGGTCTTAGTGAATTCCAGGGATACTAAAACTTACTCCGGTTCGGCAAACTATTGCAGATTAATGTTTTGCCTTATGCTTGAGCCGCAGGCTATTCATCTGATAGTAGGCATATCTACGGAACTTTGTAAAACTTTCCGACAAGTATTTTGTGTCGAGTTATATCTTGAATTATTAAGTTTGTAAGATTACTTTGCGGTGTCAGTAAAATATTATGTTGTATTATTTTTCTGAAAATATAAAATATATCACGTTTGTACTCAAATCTATATCAGTATAAATACTACCATCACAGATAACATAATATTACATCTACCATTGACAGGAAACAAAACACACCAATCTCATAAGTAAAATATTAGTGATTAAATTAAGTTTATTTAAATAAATGATTTTCTATTCTATTCTATACTATTATAATATGGCAATCTACAGCTTGCTATACAACTATTATAAATTGTTATCAGGTAAACATAAATTACAATTCACGTTTTCGACTTCTTTTTATGACAGATAATAATAACATTTTGTGAGGTAAGTTCTTCCTTCTGATACAATCAATCAAATCATTTATCAGTTAAAAGATAACAGACAGACATATACATTTTTGCATTTGTAATATTTGTATGTACAATACAGAAAATCCCATCTATCGTAATGCTTATCCTTACCAATAATAGAATATGAAAATCTATCTGTGACTATTTGTTATGATTGATTAGGTTATTAATTCCTATAGACGAGGCATACATACGAGAATAACTCAATTTCGTCCAATAAGCTTTGAGACATAATCAAAATTGTATATATATCTACAATAAGCTATCATTGTAATAACTGAACGCAGAATAATATAATTTCATTGCAAGTATATGTGAAAGTTGTAAAGGAATATTATTAAATTAGTACTATAATTAAATCATACAATATATGGTAATAGAATTTATTCTTAATATAAGGTAAATTACCTAATAATTAATATACTCAAGGAATACATACGCAGTATGTAGCAAGAATTTATATTAATATTACCATTTTAAAAGACAAATCCAAATTAATAAAACAATATTCGTTAGTCTCTTCATAAAATAATTAATTTATACATTTGTTAGGAACTTTAATTAAGAATGAAGACTTATAAAATACAAAATACATCGCGGCACTGTTTTAACAATTTATATAACTTCACGTTCAAATACTGTATGTAGTACAAAACCTGAGTATTATAACGAAAAGTGGTTCAGATCTATGGCTATATTTTTTTATCGTTTTCTCAAATAAACTCAACACACGGTAGGTCGTTATCGTGTATTCCACATGTGTACGTGATGAGAAATAGAGACGCGGATAGTTTCCGGTCCAATTTATTTCGTATATCATTTTATAGAATGTGTTTTCAGATATATTATTATGAGTGACTTATGTTCCGACAAAGTCTAATAAAATATTCGTAAACCTTCTACAATATAAATTTGACTAACATAAAAGAAATCCTCCAATTAGTATTTCAATCAAATTTATCGGAGTTATGCGTGAAATATCTGAAATCATATTTTAAATTCTATTCATAAACGAATTCTAGTTGTGTACAAATTTAGAGTGTATTTGTAGAGAAATAACTGTTCATTTTGTGATCATGTTGATAGAAAATCAATAAAATGTATTACCCATTTTGGTCACTATACTTTTCTGTAACCTGTGTTTTGATTTGAGGTCTGGAAGCAAAAGTAAAGGATATGGACAGACTTATATTAGTTCATGTATGCATAAAGACACTAGTTACTACTTACTATCCGGCGGTCCATAATTTTGTTTGGCATTCTAGTTGCAGTTATAAAAATGAGGAGTGTATTTTAAAAGTTTAATAAATTGTTGTTACATGTATAGCTCAATACTGCTATTGCATTTATCTATACATATAAATAAAATTGGAGTGTCTGTTTGTAATATTGATATAACCGTTTTTTGCTACATTCTTGTGAATATAAATACGGTACATACACCAAAATAACATTTTTTGACTGTCTGTCTATTTGTTTCAGCTAATCTGAAATGGCAGGACTTTTATTGGCAGGTAGCTGATGTAATAAGGAGTAAGTTAAGCTACTTTTATTTTGGAAAATTAGAGTTAAATTCCAAGCTGACGAACTTGCGGGTGCAGTTAGTTAAAATAGGTAATCGGATCTTTACACGATTTTTATTTAGTTAGGTTGCACTTGCCATTGTCACGAGCTCACTGGAGTAGAGCGATGTCAATGGCAGATGCCAATGTTTTTTCAATATAACAAGACGAAGCTCAGAAATCGGAGGTGAACAGACAATCTGCATACATGACGTACCTACTTGAAATAAATAATTGAGAAAATTGAAACAATACGTTTTTATATGCTCAAAAGTAATAAACGTTTGATTCGATTACGTTCGATTTACGTTCTCCAAATAATTAGCTGTTTTAGTTGTAAGCCATCCAGACTACAAAATGGATGCAGTTATAGTAGCTATTAGACTTA